GCCCGGCGAGAGCCGACCTCAAAGCGCGTCGCGCCACACGGCCTTTCTGGCTGGGCGACGCTGCTCGGCCTCGGACGCCGGTCGCGCGGCCCCTGTCGCGGGGGAAGCGGTACCTGCTGGGCCCGGAGGAGACGCAGTTTTAGCGCCACGCAAAGCGTCGGGATAGCACGCACCTTGAAATTACTTTCGGCTCCCTTTCTAAACTAGAAGAGATTTGAAGCAAGGGTGCAAACTGTAGAAGCCCGCCGCCGTGTTCGAGCTCGTACTGTACGCCTTAAATGGCAGCACGAGCAATTTCCACATGCTGGTGTCTGGGTGGCATGGTAACTGGGGCTCCGGCTAGCCACAGATAAATAGATTTCAGATGAATGACTGCTAGATTTCAATCTGCAGTACTTCTTACGGGTTAGATTATTTTTTAAAGGACTTTTCTCCTTTTCTGATGCAATCTTGGGACCGTTTTGAGCCTTATTTGAAAGAAAAAGTGCTTTCTTAGCCTGTTTTGTAGAAACTTTGGATCAAAGAATTGAAATGGAGGTAATAGATGAAATACCAGACAATGAGGAAAAGCGGGTGGGAGTTTGACTTCTCGGATATGTAAAGCCCAGATTTACTGAGAAATTGTAATTATAGTTTTGCCACAATGACACACAGACGGTGTAGCTAACGTTGTGTCAGCAGTTCCATTAGAATATGCTCTCATTTTGAATAGTTCAATTTAGTGTAATACAATGTATCTGGTATATCCAGGAAACATGCTTTTCAGGTGTGAGAGAATATGACTGAACTGCTGGAAAGATATGCATTTCAGCAGCAGTGAAAAGATTTAAAAAGCTTATTATAGCTAAAATGACGATGACTCTGTGCCAATCAGATGTTTGCCATTGAAGAGCAGGGAGATGCGCCTAGCCGTGCGGAGGCGGCAGTGGGGTGGGGAGCGAGGGTTATCGAGGTCTGCAGAAGATCTTTCGGGAAGAGCTGTTCAAAGGAGATGGCAGTTAGGCTCCCCAATCTCATTGACTTGCAATGAGCTGAACTCCCTTTCCCACCTTTGAACTGCTCCCCATCAAAGGAAAGCTCCAGCCGTTGCAGTCCTGCGGAAGGTGCTCCAAGTAGGAAAGGAATGAAAGCTGCTAACGCGGCACGCAGCCAGCCTCCCGCTCGCAGCCGCTGCTGCCGGAGTATGACAGCAACGAGGCTCTGAGTAGTTTCATTGCTTTTATTCGGGTTCCCTTGGGCAACAAAGAAATTCTCGAGCAAGGGCTGTTTCACACTGGCTGCAGCGCTGGCTGAAATCTCAGGCTGCAGTTCCGTGGTCACTGCAGGACAGAAAGCGTCCCTTCCACGCGCAGCCTGAGCAGCAGCAGCCTCGGCAATTCACACCCAGCTCTCGGGGACCTCGGGGCCAGGTCACATTACGGTGGAGAGTGGGGAGGACAGCCCTTGGAGATCCAAGCAGGCATGCTGTTCTTGCTTCTGCGGGGAGTGGGGGGCCTAAAGATGACATTGACAGAGTGGGAGGCTGGGGGAGAGTGAATTGCCCCACGTTAAACCCAATACCCCAGTAAGTAAGCTGAACAAAAGGGAGAGGGTATCTCTTCTCCCAGTCCAACGGACTTGGAGATCATTCCTGCGAGCTGGATGAGAGCAGCAAAGCACCCCCTAGCTGGAGGCTGATACCAGCATCAGAGCTCCCCACCGTGCTAGGGAACCTCCCTGCTAGAAATCCTCGCACATCCCAGCAGCTGGGGTGGCAGGCGAGTGGGATTCCTGTTGTGTTTCGCAGTTCTCTCTCTTTATCAGCTGTAGCATGCTCAGACAAGCTGTTTTACTCCTCTGTCTCACAGATTGCTGGTATAACTTTTGAGGCTTAATTTTGTTCTTTATTTTGGATGGTAGGTGTATGTTTTCCACTGGCAGTTATAAACACCAGAGCCTCCCTCCTGTGCATCTGCAAGGGTGCGACAGATGGATGTTTTTGAGCTGGACACTGAGTTGGGTTTCATTTAATTGGGAGATAAATTTAGTGCTCAGGAAGGACTTTATGGAGGTGTGAGTGAGTACACAGGGTGCAAAGTGGTGAAGAATTAGGCCTGCTGTGGGCAGGCTTGGTACACACTTCCTCCACACAGCTGTCGAGGGAACTCAGCCGTGATCTGCAGCAGCCGCATTATTTCAGTTCTGGGCAGAGACTGCCAGTCCTGCTAAATTGGGAGTGAGCTCTGTGGCTCTCACTAATAAAGATTCAGATGAAGCTTGCAACCTCTAGTTAGCTTTCTGAATTGGGCGGGTTTGGGATTCTAGTCCTGAAAGGGAAAAGGCCAGTACAACCAGTCACAGTGCTACCTCCTCCCCTGCGCCAAGGCAAGGATGCTCAGGTGACATATCAGGAGAGCCCCAGCAGGGTCACTCCGCATTGCTGCTCTTCTTCTGTACCCGTGCAGCAGGCACAAAAGAGTCCAGCCGTGATTCATCAGGAATCCTTGGATCTCTGCTGATACCAATCGATCCTGCTGGGCTGCTAAAATAGATATGGCCAGAGCATAAAATAACTAATAAAAACAAAATCCTCCATGGCAAATTCATTCTTGAGGGTTACAGTTGCCAGGCCAAAAAGAAGCTGAGAGGAGAAAGATGTGAGATTTTCTAGCCTGAAGGAGGGGAGGGGGTATTATTGATCCTGTCTCCCAAGTCTTTGCAATCCATTCATTTACTCTGTTTCACTTAAAGGATTCGCATCATGGTAACCTTGATTTATTATCTGATTTCTTTTTTGAATCAGCCTCTCAGAATTGTGCACTGGCTTGAACCTACAGTAATAAACCAGGAAACAGTTATTCCCTCTTATCTCAGGCATGTATATAATGCTTTCCCTGCTGCGTGTGCCCAATTCGTTCTTGCAGACAGGCAGCAAGGTGAAATTTAGAAAAATTGCCCACTCTGATCAAGAGTATAGGATGGGCATAGTTTTCACTGCATTCAAGAGGAGAGCAGAGAGGGCATGGCAGGAGGAGCCTTTGTGTTATCCTCGCCGAGTGAGAATGAAATTCTGGCCAGGTACCGTGCCAGTTATGGCCTACAAGACCGGGCAAGGTCTTTTTAATGATTTGTTGCAGCAAATTGGAAGACCCTGACACAGCAGCCTGCTGCAGACACTTGGTGTCCAGAAGTAAACAAGGCAGATGCATGGCCTTAGGAGGGGTGCAGAACACAATCTGTTAGCCACATAGGGCTGGATGAGGACTCTGGGCCTAGCCCTGAGCAGGAATTGATGAATAAGCTGCATCATGCTCAAGCGTAGCCTTGAGAAACACTGCGGAGATCTCTGACTCCTAATTTATAGGAATAAGCTATATGGATTTGTGTGCATCGTTACACTAGTATATGTGTGTGCAGGCTAGGGGGGGCTTGTGCCGCTTTATCTGTATTAATGAGTTACAGGAGTCGCCTCTGTGTGTTTAGACAAGCCTAAAATCAAGGGTTGCGTTTTTATCGTGCTAGAAGTCTGAGGGCTCCTCTTAATTAGTATTTCTCAGTGCATGAAGGCTTTTAAAACATAAAGCCGTACAGCTGTGATATTTGCCTGGACTTGCTATCTCCCAAGGTGGAAGAATAGAAACTATTTGTGAGCTGAGATAACCAGCAGAAATATCCCCTGCAGGAGGAGAGAGAGGGGAGCTTCTGGCTCTATTTTAATATTTGTCAGACCACGCTTAGACATCTCTTCTGAATTATTTAAATGAAAGGCTCAGACCTTGCATCTGGGAGTAGCTGTGTTGGTATCTAGGCCATAGCGTGCTCCCATTGGAGTCAAGTGTGACAAGATTTTTAAGGGATTTCAGTATAGCAAAAGTAGCAGTTCTGTTATAGTCCCAGTTTACTCAGATTCTCCTGGCAGCCTTTTGAATGCTGCCACAGATCTGGGATGCCCCTGCTGTTTCAGGAAAGCAGCTTTTCATGTGTATACTGCTGTTGTCCTCCTCCAAAACCCATTTGGAATAATAAATTGCTCTTCCCCTGGGGTTAGTGAGCCATCCAGTCAGCCACGTGAGACCGGTGGCCTCTGGGTCACGAAAGCAGTGCTCAGTACCGAAGCAGG